TTTACGATACAATAAGTACATCTCTGTCTAAATGATCCCATATTTCGAATTCACATGCGAGATCGAGTATAGAATCGACAGTATCGTCATAAATAATTAACGAAACAATTTTAAATTCGAAATCTATTCTCGTTTCCAATGACACCGAGTATTTCCGATCAAGTGGTAACCGATCCTCTTCTGATTCTAATTACCATCACGGTCATCCTTGTGGATATTTTGCGAAATGCATTTCAATAAAATATCGCGAAGGAAATGTGGTAACCACCGGCGCTATTCCGCGCGGATAATTGGCGAAATTTCAATTCCGTGTATACGGCGAAATAATTGGAGCAATAAAATGAGGGAAAAAAGCGAATAATGCGGGAGAACTGGTTTGCTGTCCAACTTTCAATGGCAAGTATGCATGATTTATCGCAACTTCGTTTAAATCTCGTTTGGTCCGTGTCGGTGTAAGCAACACAAACATTGGAAGAGGAAGAGGGGGGTCAAAGCTGTCCATAGCCATATAGGCGAAACCTTGAAATCCTTGCATCGCATTACACGACCATACACGTAATACGTAGAAGGCAATACGCAACACTTTAAGGAACACGCCGCGACCGTGACAACTATTATCCTTAAGATTGCGCGTGCACCGGTTCGTTGAAACTAGCAAATAATTATTGGATTCTTTAACGAGATCGTGTTACCACGAGATGATACATGCAACCGTGCAGGGTCGCGGTTGAAATTAAATTTCTTCCTCTATCTGTTGCAGAATCGTTTCTATTCTACGTGCCTGTTAGTGTACTTTCGCGAAATTTTAAAAATACGACGACTATTTAAATTAATTTACTCTAACGATATTAAATTGCGGTATTAATGTTTAACATCGTTGCAATATTTCCATCTACTTTTATACGAATTATGCATATAAATGAAATATAAATTGTAATATTATCGTAATATTAATAACACTTTTATGAGATTCGAAGAACAATAACCGATGTTATATGTTATATTCCAGCAAAATTGTATTACAGTATTAATACCCGATAATTATCGGTTATGAAACCTCGTGCAGAACGATAAATCACATTTACTTTGTAACACCGTGTACTGGCGAATTAGAAGAATCATCCGACTCGTTGGGGTTAATCTTAATTAAATCTCTCCCGATCTCACCTAACATTGCGTGTACATTAATCTTCGGAGCTTCCTAGAGACTAACACGAAACCTGCTCTTTTATCCTATTTGCCTTCCCGCGTGTAACTAGCTACACATACGGTGAAAATAGATAAGAAGTCCGCTCACGATCTTGTACGCAGATTCTCTTATCAAAACGCACAGAACGTTCCTATGCACCGTGCTGCATGGCGCTTCCTTCGAGCATCTTTTATTTTATTTCCTATGCTCCTGCGGACGCTTACATCCGTCAGATAAGATTTCGAAATAGCGAACGCAGTTCTCGAAAAACGTAACCAACTCTGATTCCAAAAAACCAGGCACATAATTACTAAAAGCTCGTCCAGTTCACGAAATTGTTACCTTCTCGAAAATACCAGGAAATGAAGGAATATCACCTTCATATTACACGCGTTGTATGTTACACCTAACGTTGATTGGCGCCAACGTTTCACGTTACGGCGTAACGAGTTCCAACAAAGAAGAAACAACACGGATAAGCAAAAAGAGAATTAATTGTAACGTAGCAGACAACTGTCACGAAAGAGGAAGAAAGCAATCGCGCGTTACTATCGTCGACCTAAAGTGCCGGGTGATTTATTAACGAACTCGTTCCGAACCGTAAATAACGCTAACGAATCGTAAATGCTATATCGTTAAACAAACGCTCGGAGCGCATCATGCTCGGTATGGCTAACCGTTGGCAGGATTCGTACAATTCCGAGCTGTTAACAACAGCCTCAACACGTACATCGGGGCACCATTCGTACCAAGGTTGAAAAAGAACTCTACGTCGGCAGCACGTTTACGTTTAGTGCATGCATATGCATCAGGTGTGCCAGACACTGTCGCACGTACTGAAATAACTCGCGACGTTTGATTCGCTTATCCAGCGAAAATCGCTGCTACGTTTCATTAATAGCGAGTCAATTAGATAAAGACCGGTATGCAAAACGGCCTGACTTATCTCGGGTATAAATTACCTTCGCGATACCGCGAATTATTCTCTTCTAATTAGCCATTTCGGTTGCAAGATATCCGCTTTCGGACGAAACGGACAGGTAATCCCTGACATTTTTACACGAAATAATTAGCACCGCGTGCAGAAGGTAACACGTCGTCTCGATCGATGATACAGAGAAATTGCAACGACAGAGGACGGATACACGCGTAGCTTTGGCTTATTAAATTAGAAAAAGTCCGATTGTTCGCGATCACTCGGTTAGAATGTCTCTGAATCAATTTCGTTCTACCACGGTTTCCACACGTCCACGTTGCACCATATCCTGTATTGTTTCACACCGGCAGCACACCGGTGTGTACACGAAGATCCTTAAGAGGAGAATTTTGACTCTAATTGTCGTTTGGCTAGCCGATCGGGCAACTCGTACACGTCCGACCCCGGCACGACGTCAAATTCTATTTAACCGTACGTATAGCGATAGAAAGCGCGATCACGCAGGTAATTTGCACGCGCAGTTAGACGCTCCTCTGAGAGTTCGTCGAGTTGGCACACGACACCTCCCTCGACACGCACAGAAACGCATTTCCGCCTTTCTAGGCGAATGCAAATTCAACGAGCCCGATTAAGCCGATGGACGTGGTCCAACGGCGACGAGTTCTTTCCTGGCGTGGGAAATTTTTCTAGACCAGGTGAACGCGTTAGTCACCGTTCACCCTGTCCGTCATAGGGTCAGCTAACCGTTGCGTAATTAAATGCCACTTATATCGGCACGCGAAATCGTAAAAAGCTCGTACTTTAGGTATTTTAATCGAATTACCGATTACAAATATCATTGCTAAGGTCTCGTGAATATGTACAGCCTGTATTTCATCGGAACGCGATTCGACCATCTGTTATTACAGGTTTCGACGAGCAGATCTGAAAATTTGCGTAGATGGGAAATAACTGGGTAAAAGTGGAAAATAAAAATATAAATATTTACGAAGAGAGGAGTAGGTTTTGAGTTATTTTTAAACGAATTTAAATGTCGCGAGTTCGATAAGTAGTAATAAGGGGTACGGCTGAAATGGAATGAAAGCGTGATTGCAGAGTGACCAACGCGGAATGCACGCAATTATATTTGAGCAGCGAAACGACCAGACGGATTTCGCTAAGAATTATGTAATCCCAAGTTTTGCCACGGATGTTACCTCGACGTGAATTATCGAAACAGCGGGGACAATGCGATTCAACCAAGTTGCTCGTCAATCCAAGTGGAGAGGCAAGTCATCTTGCAAACTCGTTCCTCTTTTGCATTGAATTATGAGCAAAGAATTCATATAAATCGAGATTCATTCCGATATATCAAACCGCGAAGTACTTTTCTGATATCGTGAGTTGCATACTCAATGTCCCTTTTCTTTAACCTATCGTTGTGTCTCGCTGATTTATTCCGAATTCGCGATTTTTTACGATTCCATTCCGCGAAGTATTAATAGCATAAAACGATGAAAATTTGTAGATCGAATAAAATATTTTAAAATATTTTAAAACTCAACGATACGTTCATCCTCCTACTGGAAATTCACCTAGCCGCCATATTTGAATCGCCGCGTATGTAATAAAATTTAATATCAGAAATTTAGTTGGTTGGGGATAATAGATTATGGCTTCTAATAATGGCCTTGGGTATTTTCTAAGGTGCATGACAAATTCGTGACCGTTCTATGGCGCCATTTATAAAATAATAGCGTAGATTGTACACGGAGGCGTGTGAAAATATTCGACGCAGTCGCGATTTCACGCGAATTTCGACGACAAAGAAACCGAAGAAAAATTAAATTTCCCCGTGAAAAGTACGCGTGCGTTAGAGGATTACTTCGGAAAGGCACAAGGCCTTACCCGGCGAACGTATAATACTTTCACAGAAGCGTTAGAGCAAAGGTCATTCTTCCCCGGCAAATCCAAGACGAGTAACAAAGTTCAAGCATTCACCGTCATACTGTTGATTTCGAGAGAGTGCAATTGCCATGCGGCGAGCAGAAAACGTTTACAAATATTTATCTTCCCGTTTCACGGCGAAGACTTTCGAAACGTATGATTCAACATTGAAAAATAATAAATATAAGACCGAATGCATCCGTACGGTAATTAGAAAATGTTTATCTCGCGTGTAATTGCGGAAAGAGAAGAACAAATATACATACGTAGTATACAAAATAATACGTGCAATTAACGTTGCTAATAAATTTTTCGCAGTAAGGTCATCCTGCTCGAACAGGCATCGTGACACACATTGTGCAACGAGTATAAGCGACACTTTCGATAATTTAAATGAGCGGTGACATTCAATGCAAATCGTGATGTGTATAAAATCATCGCTAAGAGGATGTCGAGAAACTTTAGTTCCTCTTCGAACGACAACGCGAAGAAAAAAATCTGACCGTTGAAATTAAAAATAGTTCGAGCGTTCAAAATCGTGTAAATAACGCCGAAATGAAGAAAAAAAATCTTTTTTTTAATTTAAAAATTATTACGCATTAATATAAAAAAATTGTTAAATTACTTCCGTTAAATACGTTGTCTAAAAATATTTACCCCACGATTTAAACAAATATAATGTATATAGATATATTCGTCAACGTAAACGAGCAAAAGTTTATTAATATTAATTCTATACGAATGGAGAGGTTAGATTCGCGTATTATATATCGCGATATATATCGAAAATATCGAAAATATCGAAAATATCGAAATTGCGTCATTTAAAGAAAGCTACTTTTCTATTGACGTGAAAATATGCGTAGCCTCCTAAATTTCACGAGAACCGTTAATAATTAAAGAAAAAATTAAATATAAGGAGAAAAATAAATAAAATTGTCGCCTAACCTGTATGGACGCGATGTCGGGCGTTGGTCTCGGTTGCCGGAAGAAGGTCGTCGTACTCCAATGTCGTCACATCCTTCGTATGAACCAGCACAATCGCGGAGGTCACCAGCATCAACACCATCGTTACCGCCGATCGATTCACCGTCATTTTGATGGAGGAAATATGCGCTTACCCGCCACGAAAAATCCGTCGCGCGACACAGGACACGCCGTTCCATCACATTTTCGCGAACCGCGAGAATCGACGCTTCAAAAAGGATAGCTCGAAATTATCGAGCGCTCGAAGCGGCAAGTTCGAATGTCGGAATCGCGAACCGGACGCCAATCCTCGCATATTATTGAAAACGCGATGAATACAGTAACACGGGGACGAGACACGTTTATACAAGTCGAACGCGTTAGTTCGTTACGATTCGCGCATCTTTCCCGCGCATTCACCCCGATTCGGCGCAGAATTGACCCTCGGAGGGCGTCTGGTTCCTAGATGCGCAGATCGGACGAACTGTCATAATTACTGCGCACGAGACAGGACGCGTGCGAAACGAGTGCACCGTTCACGGATGAGAAACTCGAGGTCGGTGAAACTTCGGGAATCCTCTTCGTCCGGTCTCGTCCCCTCGATTCGTGTCACACGAAGGGCTGTCAGTCGACGGACATTACACACTCGTCGACTGTCACTCGCGGACACGTAATTGAATGCGGTCTACGGACGCGAAAATAAAAACAATTATGTGGGACCGCGCGTGCTACCTGTTTTAAAAGAAGTGTGCGCTTGCTGCACGAGTCCATGCTGCACTGCTAGGCAGCAGTCAGGTGTTTCAAGCAGCCGCCACACGACATCCACGCCATCTGTCGACCTATCACCGAACATTCGGTGTCGCGCGTAAACCACCGGCGCGCTTTTCACGCGCACGTTCCTTACGTCGTTCTCTCTGTGTCACGTGGCCACTTGACTTCATTCATGGAGACAGGTCCTTTTATACTACGATCGTGTGTGCGTAAGCATCACCTGGCTGTGTAGGTGTGCACCGTTCTCGACTCTTTTTCTTTTTTCCCTTACTATATACAGCTCGACCTGTGTACACGTAAAACGAGAATTAAATCGTTGCCTCGTTATCAACGCGTCGCTTTCGTGCCGAATAACGAGGCATTGTTGAAATTTCGTTTGTTTGATAAATCAATTCCAATGCATTGCAGGTTCTCTGATAAAAATGCACGCGGTGTAATAAACGCTTCTCCGAATCGTCGCAGCCAACCAAAACGTAATCGATTCGAGGAATACGGAATTTTAAAAACACGCGTAATCGAAAAATCGACACGTGTCCTATCTTCCTCTCGCTCGTTTCTCATTCCACGTACACTCGCGTTTCAACTCGAAAATCGTCTCTACGTTTATCCTTTATCGATCACCGTCACAAATACCTGCGAACACGTATCCTCCCTTTTATGATTACCAAACTCGAAACATAGCGTGCAAACGTTGCCCAACACCGACAAACCGTTCGCCGACCGCTTCTAAACAGTTTCCTGCACGAAGGCAGCCGCGATTCGTTCGTTACCTACATTTCCCTATCGGCGGCGATTTCTCACCGTCTCTCTCCATCCCTGGCCTTAGCAAGGTAAAATCGCGCGTCGCAGTCACGTAAGCGTGGCCTCTCCGCGAAGAGGACACGGATGCTTCGGTCTACCGGTATTTAATTAAGCCCGGTCGTTCGAGAAAAAAAGTCGTTGGTACAGGAAGCGATGGGTTTCGAGTACGCGAGCAGCGGACCGTAGTTCGAGCCCCGTTACGGGACAGATGCATTGGCGTAGTCTCGATCGATCGAGCATCGTCCTTCCCACTACCGATCTTCGCGCATCGCGGCGTCCCGACGCCGTTGCAGAATGCCGGTGCAACTTCTCGCCGGTATTCCGAGGGATCGCGAACCACGTCGACCTTAAAAATTATCGACACGAGACCCGAGAGTAATGGTCAGAGCAAAACACCGGCATTGTCTTTGTCGCGCGTTCCCCTTTTCCGCTTTATCTTGCTCTATCTGTCCACCGTTAAAGGCAAACGATCCGTGTTGTTTTTCACCCTGACAAGGAAACGAACGGTCGATGCACTTCCAATCGCAGGTCGATCGCGATACGTAATCTCTGGCCGCACGGAGGCGATTGCATCGAGTAATGCGCATGCCACGACGAGAGCCGAGCGGCAGAATTAGAATGAAGAAGGACACGGTTTCTATTGTCTCTGATAGCGTCGAGAGATGCCACGTTTTTTCGTGATTGTATAATGGGAAAGGAGATTTTATGTACTACTCGTTCTCTTCATGCGGAACTTTGAAAATATGTAGAACAAAACGAGGAAACGAAGGGTATGTTGATTTCACAGGTAGTTGAGTTTTCCGAAGTCTTAGGATACTGTAGGATATAGAAGATCGTAGAACCTGCCTTCCTCTTAATGAGCCACTGCTCGACCACTTTTCTCACGTATGAAGAATTCACAATACTTTATTGTTCGGTTCTTGAAGACGATAGTCTTAATAGTCGTTAGAACTTCGAGATATCTTCCGTTGCGATTGTAACTGATCACGATTGTTCAACTATTGCATTAACGTTTTTCTTTTTCTTTTTTTTTTTTTTTGTTTGCAGTGAGCAATTATTAATATTATCTTGCGTATAAGACGTACAAGACTCGAGGTTCGGGATAATTTTGAGGAGGTGGCCGAGAAGAAAGTCACGATGGATGCGTAATTTCAGTGTGATGTCTAAACACGGCGCTACGTACCAACGAAATTCTTCTATGCTTCTTCATTTTAGTCGCTTCTTTTTTCAAGCCTCGGGGGACATATTCTCACGAAATCCGGTTCTACTGGTTTGGGGTTAGATACGAAGGTGAAGTTTAACTGCAGTGGCCCGAGAAATCGCCACCTCTGTTGATTACTATACCGCAATGCACCGTGTAAGATTAGTTCGATTATTACGTAAAAGAATAGAGGCACGTGTCAGAAATGAAACGGTCAGTCGAAACGTTACGGGCATATTTTTAATTCAGCCGGTGTTCTTCGTTGCAAACAATGATCGATTCGTAAACTGCACACGTGCAATTAAATCATTGGTGCTGCACGAAAGATTAGAAACCTGAGTCATCTAGCATGGAACAAAGGGTACACATCGCGCTAATTCTCGTCTGAAATATAGATAGACCTGTTAAAACGAAAAGGAAACGAAGGACTATATATCGTGAAATTTACCAGGAACAGTCTAATTAACTTAACCCACATGCCTAGGGTCCGTAAAAGCTTCACGAACTAACGGTGAAAGAAAAATCTAGCAGTGGCTCCAAAATGGCCCTGTCTGAAATGTCTGCAGGCCGTCAGATATGGCGATAGTAAAAGTAAGATGGATAAATCCAGTTTGAGAAACTTCCAGATGATAGTAGTTATGCGATCTTCGATTAATTTCCGAGTTAATCTCTATTAACTTCCTGCGGGAATACCCGACAGGAATTGGTCATTTATCGCTGCCTGGAATCTCATTTAAGAAGAAAGGTCAGCCCTCTTTCTCATTTTCATCTGTTACGTGCGAATAAATGAAAAGATATTAGCGGCGTTCACATTACAGGTTGTCACGTTCGCCAAGGGGATGAAATTTATTACTTCAAATTGGTTACAAAATACGCCATAATTCTCGCGTAATTTACGGCTGTACCGACAGTGTTGACGACGCATCCCGTGAATACGTCTCTCTCATATAATATTATACATACGAGGGCAATACGAGAGACCAGGTACATTTAAATATTCATACGCAATGTATCACGAACCATACATCAGTTTGCGGCTGCGAGCACTACAAACACAAAGTCTACGCAACGTATACGGAGTGCCTTTTTAGTAAAATCTTTATTACCATCCTCTTATCGATGCTCTATAAATTACAACGAATAATTCCAACGTAATGTCGATCGTCGCGAATTGCAAAAATGTCGCTTTAATACGTGATTTTTATTCAAAAATGATACATTTATTCGTTAGAAGTCTATAGGGACAATAAATATTTCATAATCTTTGAATAATAAAATCGTACATTGATGAGGTTCTATCTAATAAAATGTAAATACACAAACAGAGTGAGCTCCCTCGAATCGTAGCAATACCTAACTGATACCGAGAGATAAATGTTTCACCCTGTATAGAAAAGCATCATGCAGCCAAACACCATCTCCGGCACAACAGGTTGTTAATTCCTCTCTGTAAGATCCACGGCGGTGGGCTTCATTAAAAATTGAACTGGTCAGAATATCAGAGAGAAGAATAAATTTAACACGTATAAGCCATTAATTAGAGGTCCAATTGCCGATATTCTTATTGCACAAGGTGAAGGTTACGTACGTAGAATTTGCTTCCAAAAAGAAATGCCTCGTGAATATACCGATTTGTTTGTCTTGTGCTTATGAGGGATATAAAAACTAGCAGCACTAGAGCGTAAAATCTGTATAATGCATCTGCATTGGCCCGGTAAAGCCCAACCATATATTCAAATAAAAATTTCCATAATTCATGTACGCGAAAAACACGGTGTCCTGTATCGCACGATGCAAATTCTGGTAAAGCGATAGTTTCATTGCCCTGTTCTTTTGTTCAGTTCTTAGATGCTCGATAATTAGCCAATATCGAGTAGTGGAAAAATAAAAAGGACATAGCGTATATTGAATTTGAAATTTCTTCTTAAGAAATTGCACTTGCCTGTCTGTTATAACTCCAATGATCACGCCGATGGTAAAATCCGAATCAGTTACGCTCAATTAAACCCGCCATGAGCCATGGAACCTCGTAGCAACTTGCAATAAATTCAAGTTTCACAAATCTAGGACCATTTTCGACGTAATCTCACGATTCATGGCGGATTTTAGCGCGATCCCATAACTCAAGACTGATCCTAGCAAGATTCTGCTTCCTAGGATTAGTTCCACTGTGATATCTCAAGTCAGGACAGATCTCGGTGGAACTCCGGGATTAGATTCTAACAGAGTCCAACGTAGATCCTAGCAAAATCCCTCGATACGTATTCTCATAATTTTGAATCGTAAACATAAGCTGAAACGGTAAAAATACGTTCATAATTTTTAACTAATAATTGAGATGTAATAAAACATTTTAGGTGAAAATGTTAAGTTGATAGGTATCGAAACTTACCTCTTTTCGACTAGTGCATCAGTCAGAAATCACCTGGAAAGGAATTCTCTTCGTAAAGAGGCAGAGAGAGGAGGTCGCGGCAAGAACATAGCAAGAAAAACAATTAACTCTACACAAACACATTTACAGCTGCCGGGTTTCGCGAGCAATGAACTCATGGGAAGTACTCGCATCGTGCCAAGATGCTGCTACAAACCGCAATGTTCATTCCTATGTGTGTTGATACTTGCAATGTACAATCTGCGTGTCGATTGCTATTGTACTATGTCGGAATTAGCACGACGAATAAAATTTTACCTTTTAAATAAAATAGCTCAATCGAGACGATTCAAATAAAATTCTGTACGTTAAATTCATAGCGATTCGAGTATCGTTGAGTACATCGTAAGACGATTGTTCCCATAAACGTATCGGAACACTTTCTGAATCTTTCCATTTTGCACTATTTCACTCGATGTAATATCGCATTTACGCAAAACGTGCAACTCTAATTCAAATATGTATTTACTTAGACAAGAGATATGTAACTGTCAAACGGAATTTCTGTCTGCTTGTATTCACGCACATTTATTGAAACTTAGGGACCCCCTTTTCTTATGCTAATGCTGTTCTTTCCACGTATCTCTGTTCATTGTATGCATACTGAAACTGCGCTTATGCGAGTGCGTAAAGTAAAGAATAAAGGCACATTAAACGTGGAGAACAAGAAATGCAAAGTAAAGGTAGTATACTCGAACCTTGAATACACAATTGAATAAACAAGTGACTGCTTTTAACTATCAAATATTGAATTAATTAGTCAATGGAGAAAATAATGGAAAACGGTAATTATTTATTAAAGCAAAAAAAAAAAACGCTGACAAATCTCATCTCAAAGGAATTTTAATACACATACACGCGTGCATCTAGGAAATATACTTTGTCAAGGAATTCACGAACAATGTGCAATAGCACTGTGCACGCATAGCTGGCGGAATTTTTAAAAGAATTTTTCTAGGCATGCACAATGTGCAGCAGATCAACCAGGCAAGATACAACAAGTAGGAATACAGAAAGGAAGCTTCTATAACGGTATAAAATATAGTCGAACTGTTGCTCGCAGAAAACAAGAAATGGAGTACGCAGTCTTTTTCCCCCGAGGACGATCTAGATTACGGAATAAACTGCACATTACGAAGGGGACCGCATTTCCTCAGGATATCTGTGTATAAGCTGGGTACAAGACCAGATTTCCATACGACTTTATTTCAGAAACTTGTTTTTCAATTTGTATAATCCTATACGTTGCAATGTTTCCATGAAATGATGCTATAAAAGAAAAAAGGTACAAAATAAAATAAAATCAGCCAGCTCCTCGCTAATTTAGAGAATTAAAAAATTTGTATAATGTAAAGAAAAGAAAAATGCGAAATAAAACATGTCAATACCATAGTAATTAAAATTCTATTAAACGTATGATGGATTTGTGTAGATATACATAATTTACGTTACATGTACAATCAAAAATACATTTATACATTTTAATCTTATTAACAGCACAATTTTATTCACGCATTAAGAAATGTCGACATAGCAAACTAGCATCATTTTGTCAATTTGAAATTTTCACACGGCACCATTAGCAATGTCTTGAGGCTTAAGTAATATCCTGAAGTGACAGCAGCGGATATTACCTACTGCAACTTCGTACAAAATAGACGTTGCAAGGTTTGCCGATGCGCAATTGAGAAACACTATTTGAATAATATCCTCAACGATAATTACTTCGGTCACGAATAAGGCGAGCATTGTTTCGTTGTTCCAATGCAATCACTAGAGCAATTAATCTGATTTTTTAAACATCATTTAATCACTAAATTTGATCACTAGTCAAGTTTATTAACTAATCGATTAAGATAATCTTTTCATTGCACTCATTGTCCATAATATTTGTAATTTTATAAAAAATATTTCAGCTATTAAATAAAACTTATTAAGAAATCTTTAAGATAAAAATTAAAATGAATGATAAATTCTACCTTACATGCTGTAAATATTTGGTATATTTAACTTTCATAGTTCAATATATATAAAATCTTTGATTACATAATTACATAAAACTTTGAAAGATTAAATTAATATTTAATAATGCATAAAAAATAATTAATCTGTAACATACTCAAGGCATATGTACACAACAACGAATTACAATATATAGCATTGACAACGAAAGCAATCATCAGTACATTTATAAGATTTCATAAATTTGAGCTCTGGAGATGGTTGTGCAAGTCCTAAGTTTAAAGAATCCTCACTTTCTTCACTCATTTCGTCAATGCTAAATGTATCAGTAAGCTCTTGCTTGTGTTTTGAAGAATCTTTTGATTTAGTTGTTGGAAAAAGAGTCATTTCACCTTCACTAAAAATGCATAAAGATGAATGATACTGAGAATTGTTGCATATGTAATATGTAAGTTTTCAACTACCTTTCACTATCACCATGCCAGTATTCAACAAGAGGAAGATGTTCTTTATTTTTATTTGGAACAGGAAGTCTTTGAATGGATATCAAACCAGCAGCACTACTACCACTCCCACAACTTTTATCATACTTTGGCAACTTTACGTAATCTGAACTACGTTGAATACGTTTAGCTTGCTCAATTCGTGCTTCTATAAAAAATAAATACCATACAATGAAAATTAGAAGCATTATATTTGTATCATAATAACATAATGATTAATAGTAATACCAAGCTTTCTTTGTAACTGTTTAGTGGTAGAATTATGCTGAGATGTCTGTGTCTGATTGCTGCTACAACTGCTATCGCTTCCCTAAAATAAAGAAATATGAAATAATTTGTTCTTCTTACTGTCTCTAATTGCATACATTACTTATAACACTTTCATGCATTTCATAAAATGCTTAGCTTGGAAAATTATATATTTACCAAAAAAAGTCTTTCATCTTCTATATGACTAGTGGTCTTTGGATCACTATCAATTCCACTATCTTCCATCACAAAATAAAAATGTACACTAAATTAAAGACTAATTCTTGCGATTCATCTGAAATCAAAGATAAGATTTCCTTAAATTGACGTACAGAGGCTTGATACACATAACCACATATAAATGTAATAAAGTTTTTAAATAGTTAATAAAATAATACCTCTTATCACTAAAATATTTATTAACAATGTACAAATTTCATTTTTAATTTATATATTGTCATTTTTTTATACACAGATGCTTTGAATAAGTACTTAAGGAATAATAATTTATTCTGAGATAGAATACAATTTATATATGACACACATTCTATTCTGTAAAATCATGCTTAATAAAAGACAATTTGAAAATGTTTACTCACAAATATTTGTAAGCTATTCTGACTTATCTACAAGTAGGAAGCATGCTTACATTATCATAGTATGCTTCATTATTGATTTTCTTTCTCTATATAACCACACACAATATGTTCAAAATATTACTCTTATTTAAAAAATAATCTTCTATGATCAAATGAATATTCTACCTCTAAATGATATATATATAAAATTGCAATGAAATATGTATTGTGTTGTAGATTACATCTCTCTACCTACATGCATTCAAAACTAATATTTTTAAATTCATAGCATATATACCAGTAAAATTTTTTGAAATTTTTAATTTTTTCACAATATTATAGTATATTTTAAATAAATTATAATATGTTAGAACATAATTAATGATACTGAAAGCAGACAACATTTAAATGTTATAATAGCATAACAAGTTTCCTAGGAAACCAACACTATTTCCTTTGTATATATTCAAGAGAATAAGATATAAAGAATTTCAATTTAGTTTTCATTTAATTTTCTAATATATGGTTTCTGTAACAATACAGTTTTCTAGTTACATGTGTAACATAAAGACAATTTCGTTAATGTAAAATATAAACGAAATTTCATGAATTTTTATAAACTCAAAAATTTTAATATTATTCTTTTAATTTGTAAGAATTTAAATAAATATTATTTTATAATATAATAAAAACTCACAACATTATTAGAGAAAAAATTAAAATACAAAAATTAAAAAGAAATTAGTATATTTACAAAAGATAATAATTTAAATAATGATAAATATAACACATTGATATTAATTTGTAATATCTCTATATGTAGTTGGATACTAAATATTTTTAGTGCAAGAATCATGCGTACATCAGTAATAAAGAGAACACTTTCTAAAATGCCAGAAATACCAAAAGATCTTCCAAGAGTTAGTATCTCATACTTCTTATCTGATTTTAATGACAAAATTTCAATTTAAATCCATTCTTACCATAAACATATACTTTTAATAAAAAATTAATAATAATTTATAACTAATGTTTAGCATATAAGCTTCATGAGGAGTCGTATGGACCTAGGTGGTGGTGATATGGACTGGTTACGAGGAAAAGTTCATTTAAAACCAGAAGATCAATTGCAATTAACAGAAGCAGTATGTGTAGCTTTCTATAATTAAAATGTCATACATTCTAATTGCATAATTTTTAAACAACTCATAATGAATTTTAAAAACAAAACTTTAGGAATTACAAGAAGAATTTGTAAGAGTCCTAACTATACATAACACAAGAATTCCAGATGCTTTAGTTGAATGGTCATGGAAATTGAAGAAATTCATAATATTGCCTCCTCCACCACATTTAATAACTCTTCTAAGTGTACCTGGATCAATATTGCATAAAGATTCTGAAGAAGCCAAAATACAATTAGCAGGAGGACTTGTTGGTAAAATTTTATAAATACATACTATTTATAAACTTTGCAACTCTATTTAATACTTTGTTAAATAATTTTGTGATATTTGATCATAGTTGAAACACCATTTGAAGAACCTATATTACGTGTAGATGAAGAAGAAAGAGATGAGGAAGAGGAAGAGGAAGAGGAAGGAGAGGAAGAGGAAGAAGGAGAAGAAGCAGGTAAAGAACAAGAAGATGAAATGATTAATTATAAATCAAACAAATTAATGAAAATGGAAATTAATTCAAAATTTTATTAATAAAAATAAAAGAAGCTGAAGATCCCAAAGAATATGAACCTGAACATGAAATTGAACCAGATGAAGAAGAAACAGAGAAAGTAAAACCAAAAAAGATACCAAATCAATTTAATTTTTGTGAAAGAGCTGCTTTAACTTATACTAATCCTATGCGTGTAAGTATATGGTGATCTAAATTTTATAAAACACGATTTGTTTAATTACGAATTTGTTTAATACATAGGAAATGAGTACTCAAACAATACCACCCCCAACTGCAACGTTTAATACTCATGTTTTTCAATGGACAATCTTTGATGAATATCAGGTATATATTTTTATCTTAAATTAAATTATGTGGAATTATATGAATTAGAAATATGGATGAATCTTAGGAAGATTTTGCTCAACAACAACGTGAAAAAGAAAAAGAAAGAAGACTTCCCCTTCTACAACTGAAAAAGGAGGAGCTAAAAAAGAAAACTCAGAAAGAATCTATGGCATTAACATGTAGAATGTTACAAGCTGCAAAAACATTAGAACGAATGGTGAACCAAAATATTTTTGATGAAATAGCTCAAGGTTAATATGTGATTCAATCATTTTTAAGAAATTATATTTTTTTGGAGAGAGAAAAATATTTACATAAATATAATTAGACTATAGATATTGGGATGATCCAAGTGATGAATTTAAGAGTGGAGAAGGTTCATTATTACCCTTATGGAAATTTAGTTATGAGAAAACCAAGAAACATGATGTTACAGATTTATGCTTCAATAGCAGATATTATGACTTATTTGCAGTTTCATATGGAACAAGTTAGTAAAAAATATAAAAATTTAACTATATACGAACACTTATAAATGTAATATTTCAGTGTCATTTACTAGTTTGATCACAGATGGAACAGTGTGCCTATTTAGTTTAAAAAATCCATCATATCCAGAATGGATTTGTCCAACAGAATCACCAGTGATGTGTTTAGATTTCAGCAAACAACATCCACACCTTTTAGTTATTGGTAATAAAAATAAATATTATATAATACATTTTTATTAGAATAACATTAATCCCTTTAATGGTAAAGGTACTATGGATGGTGCTGTTGCTGTTTACAATGTAATGTTACCACCAACAGCTCCTCAATACAGGAGCAATGATGTTATTCAAAAACATGGAGGTATTGTGTGGGAGGTTTGTTAACTATAAATAAGAATATAAACAAATATGAGAAAATAAGAATATATAAAATCACATTTTTGTTATAACTATTTCAACATATACTACATTATTAATGCAGTAGTTATTACACATGATACTCAAGGTACATTGGGCACCAGACACAGAAGAAGGTAATTTGGCATTCTACAGTGTCAGCATTGATGGAAAAATAAACTACTGGATATTAAATCAAAATGATCTTGGTTTAACAACTGTGATGACTCTCTTTCTGGACAGACCACCAATACCTGGACCAGATGGTACTATGATTACACTTAAGGGTAAGAATATTTTACATCATTGATATTTCTATCAATACTAACAATATCTGATAAATTTTATTATATTTTACTAGGTTGTGGAACATGTCTAGCATTTCACCCTGCAGATCAAAATGTATTTCTGGTTGGAACAGAAGAAGGAACAATTTATAAATGCAATACAGCATACAGTAGTGTTTATATGAAAACGTATAATGAAGCACACAATATGCCAGTCTATAGGATAGTATTCAATAAGTACAATTCTAGTATATTTGCAAGTTGTTCTGGTGATTGGAGAATAAAGATATGGGAAGATGATAGAATGTAAATTTCAAATGCATTCATTGTTTTCTTAAATTCCTAACTTTTTGTCATCAATTTGAGTATATAAATATGTTACAGGGAACCCCTATTTATGTTTGATCTTGGTGTTCCAATTGGAGATGTTCAATGGGCACCATATAGTTCAACAGTATTAGCTTGTGTTTCAAATGATGGGAAAGTTACAGTATTTGATTTGAATATAAATAAATATAGACCGATATGCAGTCAACCAGTTGTTAGCAGAAAAAAATATAAACTAACTAGACTTGCATTTAATAATAAATTACCATTTATTATAGTAGGTGATGATAAGTATGTATACACCTTATAATTTTATTTAATGAAATAAATATTCATTTAATAAATAATATAATAATATAATTATATTTTTATTTTTGTTTCATACTAACAGAGGTACAATAAATACATTGAAACTGTCACCAAATCTCAGATTAAAAGTAAAACCAACCAAGAAGCAACTTCATTTAACACACAGCGAATTAGAAATTATGAAATTAGAAAGATTACTAAGTTTTGTACGTGAACCAACTATTTTATCACCACCAAAAGATACAAGGATAGTTGCTTAATTAAATTACATTTTTGACCACAAGAAACATTTTACAGAAGTATGTACTTTTTGTTTTAAATAAAATCTATTTAGATATAAAAGCTGTATATCATAGGTATTTTACTACCACGATTATAATATTATATTATAATACAAAAATTATAATATTCCTTAATTTTTTGTAAACATCAACACTTTATTAACATTTGCTATAACAGAAAATACATATTAATATCTATATCTTTATAAATAAATTGGCACTAAATTTAGAATAATTTACAAATTTAAACTTACTATCTATAATTGCTATAACATGTCTTCTATACTAGAAGCAATTATTAACGTTTACGAAACTACTTTATTACATTTCTTTGTAAATAGAATTATTAAAGTTTTTGCAATTCCATACATATAACAATACCACATAGTTTCATAATATGCCTACCATTAAATATTTTTAAAGAATAAGTTAGTGGTTCCAAAAACAGTTTACATTAATTGTATACATATAACGATGTTTGTTCTTACTTAAATTTATATATGAAGTTCAATATATATTAAAAAATCATAATAATTAAAAGAGTATATATGTAAATATTGTATTACACTTAATAATAATTAATATTAACTTAATAATATTATAAATATGTGGTCCAAGTGAAATAGTAATATTTTTTCTAATCAGAAATTAAATTAATTCTCATAAAAATCCTTAATTCAGTAGTTACATAATTTTCTGGAAACTGAATATGAAGTATCATCATTACACAAATTCTATATTCTGATATTTTGAATATAGTAAGCACTGGCTATCACAGTGTCTGTTACATTTTTGTTTAATTGTAAAGAAATATTTACACCATATAGGCTTCCCTTACATCAAATAAATTATTTATTAAAAAATATGAAGTTTAAATTATTTTACATTTAAATTTTAAATAAATTATTTCCTTAAAAGTATACATATTTTAATATATATATCAAAGAGTTTATGTAAACAAATTTTAAGCTAAATAAAAATAATTAAAGAAAGTTATATTTTTAAATGAAGAAGAATACTAAAAATAATAATTAATTATTAAATAATGTACAAAAATATAAAAAATACATTATTCATAAAAATAAACAATTTTTATATCTTTGGCACATTAACTTTATTATATAAAATAAAGAAAAAATAAAATTATGTACTTGACAATAAAATATTGATATTATAATTAATACTGAGAATGTATATGTAAAAAATTAAAATTACAATCTTATTTCCTAAAATATATTTTTTTTTACATGAAAGATATATTGTAAAAATTTATTAACTAACAAGTTTGAATATTATATTTAAAACAATCTTAAATCTTCTTAGGAACTTGTGACATCTGACAATTCATTTTTAATGAAAAAACAAAAGAAATTAAATTTTGTGTTAGCAGTGAGTAATTATTTAATACAATTAAAATTTAAGTTGATACCTATATATTTATTATAAATGTCAGAAAATATATAACAACTACATTTTTAAGGAGATTTTATAGAACCTTCCTTTTGTTCTCATACTAAATTTCTAGCGAAATTAGTAATAATTCTTAGTTTAGTATATGATCGCATAACCTTATAAAATATCGGAAAATAATACTTTTCATTTAAAAACACTACATTGTTTTCCTAATTTCATTTTATGATAGAATATATTAATTCGGATTATTAAAATGCTGGAAAAAAATTGTGAAGGCTTAATATATTTATAGATAAGACAGCTATTAATTAGATAATTTAAATTACGTATTTAGGAAAAATTACTTTTCTAATCTCATATATAACCTACTACAATATTAACTTTTAATTAACAAAATCTTGAAAAGAAATTTTACCAGGGAGTTCTGGATTTTCTATCACACCCCTAAAATATTTCAATTCTAAAAAATCCCTAATATTGTTTGGACATGGTACTTGTCTACCAGCAAACTCAATACTTGACATTGGATGAAGGAATTGCTCTGGAAAATCTTTATTATTTAAAAACCATGCATCTTTAACCATAGAACCATTTTTTGCATAAAATGGAAGTATGTTTACAGTTAAATGGTTTATTTTTGAATACTGTACTTTAAAAAATTCTCCTTCTGTTGCTTTTTCCCAAACAAAACCATGATTATCAACAATAGGTTTATTCATAGCTTTAATTAACCATGATGATCTCTCAAGATCATCACGATTTACTCCTATTTGTACTTCATGATCCCATGGTAAGATATCACTGTTTCTCATAGCACCAAGTAAAGATCCACTTTCTAACCAAAATCTGATACCAACTTCTTCTAATTTATCAAATACATGATGAGCAACTTTCCTCAATCCTGAGAGGCAACAAGGTGGAGTATATCGATTTTGATAAAGGTAAGGGGGAATGCCATTTATAACTGATCCAAAACACCTACTACTTTCTCTAGAACAACCATACCATTCTACAGAATTGGAAGCTCTTATAACCTTTTTAATTCCCAATTTTTCAAACATAGATCGTTCACGACTTTGGTATAACTGTTGTACCTTCCATAGAGATTGCTGATTCTTATATAATGACTTTCCTTCATTGAAATGATAATTTAACAACATATGTATCTAGTAACATATAATAAATTATCTATATATATATCTATGTAATAAAATGCTACTGATTGTGGGACTAATTATAATAAGAGAGTTAATTTTAAATATAAGAGACATAATACAAAAATATTAATCATTCATAATCCAACTCAAATAATTACACTTAATATATATTTCTAACCCTCATTCTTTTTTATATGTAGAATTAAATAAAAGTAAGATTAAATACCAAATACAAACCTTTACACCTAATGCAGTTGTTTGAATGTATAATGCATCCGTAAAGGGTAACAGAAATGGATCAGTTAATTTTTTTAATAATTTTGTTTCAAGCATTGTAGCATGCTTCCCATTTATTCCATCACATACATTGCCTGTTGTATGTGAAAATTTGAGACTCCATTCTTTTATTTTTAATTCTATATTGATGCAATTTAAAGTTACACTTCCTATTGGTACACTTACTACACCTAATTTTGTAGCTTGTGATACAGTCTCCTGCAAAAAATTCCAAATAAATATTTACTACACAACACTAATATTTTTCTTCAACTTTTATTTTTGATGATGTTTTAAACAAAAATAAAATATTATTTTAAGATAATACAATAAAAGTATATGATGCTTCTTACTTGTATGATTTGCTTGGTAGAAAGCCGACTACCATCAGGTAAAAATAAGACATATTTTGTACGTACATAAAACAGTGGATTTCTTTCATCATAAGATTTATTAAATTCCGGTTGCAAGTTTATAAGTTTAACGTTCTGCATGCTTTCATTTGCAAAGTCCAATTCCAATGGTGGATATGGCAGTTCATTGCTTACTATTAAAATTGGTATAGTAGGAAAAAAGCTTAACACAGACTCTACAGTGGAAGTCACATCGTTTTCAAACGATTCAAATTGTCGTATAACCACAGTTACTAATCGAGCTAATCGACGATGAAACTTTTGTGGAGGATCAGGTGTAACGATACTCGGTGTCAACAACCGCAAAGTGTTTTGTGTTGCAAATAACCTCCATATTCTATGCCATACAATGATATTACCTAATAGTGCAAGCACTAATAATGTTCTTACAAATTTAAAACGCATAATTATCGTGTATTTTGCAATATCATTGTAAATCAAATTTTTTTACTTCATCCTGATATCAAAACACCTCTAACGTTTAAATGTTTGACAAATCACAATACCTCTGCATATTTCAATTTATTTCTATTCAGCACTGCCAATCTATCATTTTGCGACTACAGTACGACAATCATAATGAAGTACTATTTTCATATCATACGCTGTTTAATAGAACTTTATTATATTGTTATAAAGTCTTAATATTTTTAACTAATTTTATTTCTTAAAATACGAAAGTTTTAATTCAATATTGAAAAAGTTCAAAACCGTTTGGCGCTATAATCTGGTGACATTACAAACGTAAATGTTTAGAATACTGTCTTGCTGTTGTTTTTACATAAACGTCAAAGTCTACATTTGTAGCATTCGGCGCTCTAATAAAGTTAGTAAAAGTATAGAACTCGTTTTGTAATTTCTGTATTACAAATTAAATAAAAGGAAAATAGTGAAGTTTAGATACACTTTAATAAAAGAAGCCTTTCTACTGGTGCACCATGCCTCTCCATCGTTATACTCATGCAGTTCTATGCAGAATTCCTCTTTCGCTTCGTACAAGAGGCGAGGTCACATTAGATGAAGCCAGAACTCAACATTTGGCACTTGCTCAACTTTTACGAGAACTCGACATCGATGTTGTTGAGATGCCACCAGATGAAAATTCACCACTTTGCGTATTTGTTGAAGATATTGCAGTTGTTTGTAATGGGATCGCACTTATAGCACGACCCAATGAACCGTCGCGCCTAAAAGAGGTATACTTATAACATTTTATATTAATTAATTAATATTTCTCAATTACATTAATATTATCTTTAAAGAATAATAACATTTTAATTTAACACGCTTGTATATTGTGTAAAATGATATGCTGTGTCAATATACATATATCAATCTAAGTTCATGTTAATATATAATATATATTCAATATACAATAACATAACTTGGACAATCATCTTTTTTATATTTATGTAACAGAAACATAACTTTGTTATATTATTGTATGTATCAACATTATTATTACATAATATTTTTAATATTTGAAAACATGACAAAATGATCTAATTTTAGATTGAGACAATTAGAGCTGTTTTAAAGAAGGAGTTAGAAATTCCACTTATTGAAATAGCTGATAAAAATGCACGTTTAGATGGAGGAGATGTTTTATTTACTGGTAAATGTTATTTTTAATATTAAGATTGTAAACTTAAAGAAACTGTTATCAAAGGTAATTGTTTATTATAGGTCGTGAATTTTTTGTTGGGTTGTCTCATTATACAAATGAAGCAGGTGCAAGAGCAGTTGCAGCAGCATTTCCAGAATATCCATGTGTACCTATTAAGGTTGGTTAATTGTTAACAATCATAGTTATTATTTATTATAATTTATATAGTTATTTGCTTATTATATATTACATAATCTTTTAGTCTTCTGTTTTATACAAACCTGTTTTTAATATTTGTTTACTTTAAAAAATGTAAAATATTGCATGAGTTATTTGATTAAGTATTTCTTAAAATAAAAAAGAATTGATGTTGTTTGCATATTGAAACATTTTTCAACATTTTTGTTCTATAGCCTAATCTGTGTCATCAATAAATATCATGTGTTATTAAAAGATTAAAATGTATATGTGTATTGTGATTGTTATAGAAGTCTTTCCTGTTATTAGTGTTTTTATAAGGCAATGTTTATAACTATATGTTAAGAATTAGTTTGACAAGTTCATATGATAATATTAATAAAACTAACAAGTAGATTAATAAAATATATATATGGGTAATTGTAATTTAGATTTTACAACAATATAAATTAAATTATTAATTATATTCTATATTACTAGTTGTTTAATAGTTGCATTATACCCTTTTTAGTAAACATTAAAATAAAAGATATTACTATTAGTATTAAAAAAAAACATACAACATACATAATATATAACACATATATGCATATGTACACATTTACACATATGTAGGGTATAAAGTATGATTGATCAAAACAAAAGATTAAGATCAACTTACCTTTCTGGTATTCATTTAAGGTGGGTGATGGTGGCGAAGAGGTGATAGTGGAAAGTCTTACCTCAGCCCCAATTCAGGTTTGGGTGTATTAGACTGACTCTCTTTTGCATACTACATTGAAAAAAAATTTCACAATTTAGAAACACAATTTTGCACGATTTCAAAAAGTTTATTTACGAATATATTTTTTACAATTACCCGTTACAGATTTTTAACTGAATGCTTTCAATTGGAGTTTGATATAGTATGTGAGTTATGGCTTGGTGCAATTTTGCACATGAGACACATATACACTAATACACGAGACCACATTTCACCCTCGCACGTGATTAACGTTTATAGTTCTTTTTGCATACATTTATCACGTTGCAGAATTTTATACAGTGTAACTTCAATCAATTGTATCAGAATACTTCAAAAAACTCTATTCAAAATATAAAAAAATATTTTGTTCAAAAAATACTTTTTAATTTGTATAGTTATGATATTTTAATGATTTATTGAAGTTACATTATTTGTTGTTCTTATTATGCATATTAAATTGATAAACCAAAATTAATACTTTACTTAATTTTATTTATTTACTTTTCTTATGTAATGCTACAAAGAAATTAAATACAGTTAATACTTTTTATCTCTTAGTTCGTACAGTTTTTATTATACAAACAGATAGCTGATGAAGACAATGCTTAAATTTTCTAGAAATCAATTTTTAGTCTAACAGAAATATAATTTTTATGTAATTTTTATCTGTCATAAAAGATAAATATTATGGATATAAGAAAAGGGTTAATTTTTACATAATTTTTATATTATTGCATTCATGATTATAACTTAAATATTATTTTAAATTGAAAATATATATATTTTTATTTTAATTATTTTATAGGTTGCTGAATCCAAGCGTCTTAAAGCTTTAGTTACTATGGCTGGTCCAGATATTATTTGTGTAGGTGCTGGAAAAGAATCTCAAGAAGTTTTAAAGGTATTTAATTGTAATCCAAATATTATTTCTGGTATCATTTTTTACATTTATCACTTTTTATATTACAGAGAATTGAGAGGGAAGCAACTTATAATTATCAAACATTAACTGTGCCTGAGGATGCTGCTGCCAATGTACTTTATGTGAATGGAACATTAATTCATCGATCTGAAGATGAAATTCCACAATCAAGTAAAGTTTTTGCAGAAAAAATTGAATTCCCAACCAGATCCCTACGAATGTCTGAATTGGCAAAGGTTAGTTCTGGTTTAACTTCTTGTTGTTTATTGGTTCGTAGACCCAGACATATTCGCAGTATTTAAACCAAGAAATAAAGATATATCTAGCAAATGTGTTAAATTGCTAGATTCGTATATTGATGTGAATCATAAAATCAAGAGTTTAAATATTTCTAATAAGAAATATTACCAAAATGCTGTGCAAAAAACTATAATACTGACGTAGCATTTACGTCGCTCCAAAACTTTAATAACTACTTTAATGAACAGAAAAGATTATTTTATAATTATTTTATAAAAAGATTATCTTAATATAAAAAAAATTTTATAATTAAGAAGATTAATATATTTGATTTTAACATATTTACAGTAGAGATAATATATTTATCTAATTTGATTTATATTATAGATTTATATTATATGAAGTCATAATCTTTATCTTGCCATTTATGACTATTATTTTTTCGAATGTTTTTCAGTTTTATTATGGCAGCATTTATAAATGTATATTTTTTATATTTTCATAATTTCTATAATTATAGTAATTTATATTGCACAAAGTTTCTCTTTTACAAAGACTTTAAATATAAAAATATTGATTTATAAGTTATACAAATAAATCAAAATGAACTTTTAATATAGCACAAAAGGAACAAAATCATAAAATTAAAATTATAATAATAATAAATATTCTATGTCTTCTACTTTTGATATTTTGTGTTATATGATTAGAAATCAATCATCAGTATTCTAATACCTTTGAATGCATTTGCTACTAGTCTATAAAAAGTGTTCACCTAACTATTCAAATAGAGTTCTTCTATAATTCAATTACATACTGCAGAGTTAATAATATATAAAAGCACTGATAGTTAAAAGTTAATGTGCTGATTCACATTATAGCAAAGTTACAAGATTAAGAGTCTACTGAGCAGAAAAAAAAATAAAATTTCTGTATAAGAACAAATTTCACATATACATAATACATATTACAAGCTTAAACTGTTTTGGCAGATTTACAACAACTGTAGGATATTAATACAATTTATAGTAATATAATATAATTTCTTGATATTCTTTAAAGTCATGACAATATTATAATAAGTTTATTATACTTTTATATATTTTGATATATGTATTTTGATGTTAATCCAATTTCTCTTGTTTTCTTAATTCTTATCTTTCTTTAGAATAAAAGTATTGTAATTCTATGAATTTGTAATTTGAGGATAGTTTCACAACGAATGTTTTACAATATGTAACATTAGATTTAGTATCATTCTGTATATTTCTTTAAAAATTCTCCAAAGTGTATAAGACTACAAAGTTGTAAACAAAATAAAAAGTATATGCTAGACGTTATAGTCTAGTTTTGATTAATTAATTCCCTATCCAAGTGAATGGACAAATGTATGTTAATATATTCATTACTAGTTTAATTAGTAAAATAGCAGATTTATTCAAGAAATGTTCTCGCAAAACATTTGCAGCACTTTATATGAACCACTTAATACAATATCCACAATTTTATCTCCTAATATAAATAGACAGCAATTTCAATGTTAACACTAAGCCTAAGACTAGTATATTTTTCTCAAATTTTTATTCTAAAAATTCATATTTGCTTATAGTTATTCAAAATAATTTACAAAACGATTGTCAGTTATTTTTTAAATAAATAAATTTATTAAATGTATTACGGAATTTTGAATAATTGTAAGCAAATGTGTAAAATATGTTACTGGTGATTGTACAACTTACATTAACTGATATCGTTATTTATTTTAAGTATTCATAAGGATGCAGTTTTTTTGTTCTCTCTTTTTTTACAATTGGTATGGAAATTGGTGGATGGAAAACATTTCGAAATTTAGGAACAATTATTGTAGCAAACACTATTAAAAAAATAATACAGTCTTGCTGCATTCATTGTATTTAAATATGTTCAGAGATTAATTCTTAATAAATACACACTTGAATATTAACTCATTCAAATGTGTACCCTTCTTCAAAGGCCTCTTACTGTTATATATATTCTTCGGCAGTTCCACTATTTTCCTTTCTTCTTGTTATTAATTTCTTTGTTTGCGCATTTATAATGTTTAAGTCATTGGTAAAATACTTCAACTAATTTCAATAATTATCAATATCATAGCAGACAAGTCTTGTTATTCCTTTTTTCTTTTGCATTATTAAGAGTAAAAAGTTAAAACAGATGTATGATTTCCTCGAACAAGTAAAAATGGTGGCATATCGCGCGTCAAAGTTTCAAGCCAAGCCATATAAAGAGGCGCTGATACAGCACCTTTTCGAGGCATTGGCAATGTCCTGGAAGAAAAATAGGATAAATAACAAATAATTTCAATAATAAAAAGAAATATTAAAAATGTAATATTGCTTGTATATTTTTACTCACATAACTACTAGATTTGCTTCTAGTGAATTTTCGAGTAATAATTCTCTTAAACGTAAATGCCTATTTGTTTTTTCTTTCATAGCGATTAATTCAGAATCTTTAATAACATCTGAAAATAATTTGATTTTTATGACTTTTCTAATGTTGCTTTAATTATGATGAAAATATGCATATCAAACATAATACCATCATCTGTTGTTTTTGTATTTTCCGTTTGTTGAAAATTTACTATCAATGAATCAAAGAAATTTTTAGTGGTATCCTGTGCTGGTTTTGAAATGTCTGGTATAACTTTTAATGCAGAGTAATCTATCCTGAATTTCGATAAAAGGCTTGCCATACTAACAATAAAACAATAATATCAATAAATTTGTTTTATTTTTTTTCACTTATAGAAAAATATATTACTTACTTTCTTTGCTCATATTCGAGTTCAGAGTTTTTATTTGCAAGAGCAAAAACTCTTAGTTTACTATTAGACCAATTGCGTCTTGTACTGATAATATAGGGTAACAGAAGGGTTAAACCACCATCATCATATAACCACCACACATCTATCGTACCCTTCTTTTGTTTACGTTGAAATTTTGTTACGGAGTTAAGTATATCTTTTGCTACAGGTATAAAATTTTGTCGATTTTCACGTTGATCTTTTGCAGTTGGATTAGGATATTCATTAATCATTTTGGATCTCCGTGGAGCTGGACTTCCGGGAATAGATATATCCGATGTGCTACTAGCTGTAAAAATAAATATCGATTGAAGAAATTCAACAACAACTGTAATAATAATTCAGTATTTATAAAAATACAAGTTCCAAGTATTTTGCAAACCTTGACTAAGTTGAGAAAAGCTTTGATTTCCTGGGATTGTTTGTGCATTCTTTTTTTGTTCCTCGATATCTCCTACAATCATGCTACAATCTAAACCTTCGCTTATTCGAAGAAGCGCTACTGCTATATGCATATCCAAAGCTTTGCTATGTAAAATATATTATCACGAAATTGTTATTTCATTTAACTCATTTGTAAATGTAATTAAATGAAAATACTTACTGCATCACGTTGAAGTACATACTCAAATTTTCTCGCGGACAAGTCGCCCAATCTTGCTTATAGCCCATTAATAAAATATTAGGCCTCATTTTTCCCAAGCCAGCAGCTTGTAAAAGGGAAGTGGTTCCATCTTGAAAATTTTCACCATCCACCAAAGAATAAAATGCCTTAATTTTATTTGCTCTAAACCAGGAAATACAATTCGCAATCATGGAGTTACGCGTTTTATATGATATTGGTGTCTAAAATAAAGAAAACTTAAATATATTAAATACACAAGGATTTTAAACATTCTTAATTCAAAAAATACCATACCTCAATAATATGACCACAAATAAATAAACTATTATTTTTGGTAATATGATGTGCAAAGTCAATGAGTGCAGATCTTGTACTTGGTGTGCCACTGAGTACTAACAATTGAGGTCTGTAATTTTTAACATGTTCTTCAACTCTATCTAGCTGTTGGACAGCGTTTAAGGCATTATTGTATGTTTGGGCTTGTGTTGTAGAACCCCAATTAACATCTATAAAATAATTTTTATATTCTTAAGCTACTCTTGACATCAAAATATATAACTTGTAAAATGTTACCTGGTTTTCTGTATGAGACTACTAAATAAAGTGCTAAAACTACGGATAATGTGATCAGTGCTGTCCACCATGAGATCAAGAACATCACAGAAACACAGAGAATAGATCCAGCAAGACTTAGCCACATATTATAATACTAAAATAAAATGTAACACATCAGGTTATCATTTTAGAATTATTCTTTTATTAATATAAATTTTACCTTAAACGTTGGTCTCCAACCAATTGGTTTAGCCAACGAAGCATGGAAAGTGCTAAAGTTAATAAGAGTATAGGCAGCCAAAAAGAAATTTGAGATCAAAGGAGCTATGGCATTTAATTCGCCTAAAATAAACCGATGTTTTAATTTAAAATAGTCAATAATAAATAATTTATTGCATTTATCTAAAATAGAGAAGTGTAACGCTCACCGATTAAAATAAAGCCAACGGCAATTATAAACGTAAGAAAGTAACCGCGAATTGGTTCTTTATCTTTATCACCACTGAACCACTCTATTCCAGGATATAATTTATCGAGACAAAGTGCCTGAAATACTTTAGGTGCGGAAACCAGTGATGCTAAGGCACTTGATAGAGTAGCTGCGAAACATCCAGCATAAATAAATGGTCCAAATGCGGAAACTAACTCGATCACCTGAAAAATTTATACAGGTATTAATACAAAATTTAAATATTTACATTTCCTATATACAAATTCTTTTAAAAAAAATTGTGCTGACAGAAGCACCTGGAAACTATTGTGGCCGCCATAGGAACAGTTCTCTGTACAATTAAATTTGGTGCCATATAAGCTCCATATTACGTGACTGGAATTTACAGTAACAATCGGGAATTCGGTTGTTTCGTTAGTCCCATTTAAGCTCGATAAGGCAGTATATGAACTATTGAAAATGTTCCACAGATCGTTAACATCGCCAGACGCGTCTCGCATAACTGAGCCGCCCACCATAAGCGCCATAATGATGTAAGATATAGTCGTTAAAAGAATAGCCAACAGTGTTCCTTTAGGAATAGCTGTTTGTGGATCCTATTAAAACCACAAATTTTATGTACATAATGATTTCAATCGAAGGATTTAATATAACGCAGTTAATGACAAACGTTAATAAAATCTTAACAACTAAAAACGTTATGTTATATTCCCTATAGACGAAAGGACTAAATCACCTTCAAATCACCGGATATATTCGCACCTGCCAGGATACCTGTAGCTGCAGGGAAAAAGATAGCCAAGACTGAAAAAAAATTATGCTCCACCCCCTCACTGTACCTGTAGTCCGGATAAAAGTTATCCTTGAACAAATCAGCTGTGAACATAAGGTGTTTGAGTTATAATTTTAATTAAATCAAAGTTTAAAAGAGTCGAACAATTCAACCACGATATATGCATAGTCATTTTCTAATTCTCCTTGCTATAACTTGGTTGCTATCTTCTAAACGAAACGGTATGCTTATCAATCGTTCTTATAGACATTACCATTGTATCCTATAAATCCTTTAGCTCTTTCTTGATCATCCTTAGGGCCAATAAAGGTACCAATCATAAAATCAGCAATAGCTAAGAGCAAAATAATCAGTAAACCAATTTGAGCTTTTGCTTCCCATTCCAAACCGATCATAACGATTAACAGCAATAGAACTATCGTGACACAGCCTGTATAAAACAAAAGTCATGAAAAATTCATTGTAAGAATATCATATACGTCATCCTTCATACTGACCTATAATTCTAATATCCGTGTTATCGCAGTCAATGATACAAATCCCGTTCGATTTTAAACAGTCGACCATGCTCTCACAAAATCCAACAACATACATCGAACAGGCGACTGCGTTCGCTAAAGAAAATATAAGTCCTATAGCACCTCCGAATTCCGGTCCCAGTGATCTGGAAATCATGTAATACGTGCCACCTGCGGGAAGTATTTAATTAATTTCATCCACTGATACCAGAAGTGATTGGAACTTATATCGATTCATCGTTCATTCGAGTCAATGATAATATGTCCACCGCTGATATTTACCTCCTTTAATAAGCCCATTCGTGCTAATTGCCGACATCGATAACGACGTTATTGTGGTCACAGCTGTCGTTGTTAAAATCAATAAAATAGCTTCCCCTGAAAGAAACAAAAGAAAAGTAATTTCAAGTTCGTCAGGTATAATACATTCGATTTATAATTACCTATGCCCGCTTGTGCTACGACCCAGGAGAGTCGTAGGAAGAGCATCACCCCCCAAATATTGAGAAGGCATCTTAATAAGACTCCTTGAATCCATCCGAATTTTATCCCGGAAGTTGATGGCTTCACGTGCGCTATTGGCAAGGTATGCGATCCGGAACTCTAGGATGGTAATGCAAAATACGATTTAAAGTCATTTGAGTGATTGTTCGATCAGGTTTAAACCTGAATAGAAGTACAACATTGATGTTCTGCAATCAACTATCTACTTCGTTCAAGTTCAAGTTAAATCATCGTTCCACGCACTGGCCGATGACTACTGGAATTTCTATAAGCTGTTTCAGTTTCAGTTCCAGTGCCGTCCGAACAAACAAATATTTATGGAATTAAACGGCAGAACTTGCCGAGAGATCCGTAGATCTCTCTACGTGAGCGTTACGCGTAAATTGAGATTTAGAGGTGGTTATCGGCATTGAAGGTGATTCGTCTAGAGGAAGGGTCGCCAGTCGACCAATGAAGACTAACGATTTACGTAACAATGCCTCACATGTCATACATTACACGTCGCCCAATGTTGAGATACTTTTTAGAAATCCAGCTTGGAGATCTTGGGTATTACGCTTATCAAGGAAAATCCGCTTAAAACAATAATAATAATAAAATGCCTAGGAATTCCTAAATCTACGACATAATAAACATGGAGGTCATTGGAGATGAGGATAAAAGTTTCTTGGAAATTAGCAAAACGAAAAGTTAAACGAATGGAGGTCGAAAAGAAAATTTCACATAGCTGGATTCGTCGATGTAAACTCTCCGGAATGAAATTCTGCAGTAAAATCGAACAGCTGAAAGAACTAGTTTCAATCCAGCCAAATATTCGTGGATACAATCAAACAAACGTTTGTGGAAGCCTTAGAAACGTACCACTGTGTAAATACTAATTGAATTACACCTTCCCTGATATTATGATCTCGTGACGAGTTAGAGAAACTTGGGATTTTCGATATGAAACGTAAATATTTTCTCCATTATCGATTATCTAAATCCATTTAACAACAGTCTATTTCTCGATTTGCTGTAATGAACCAAAAGTTTATTTAGCGAATAATAGCACGAATATTCGTGGTTCAAGGATACCTTCTTGCGAGCCTGCTCAACAAGCTTAGAACTCTTAGAGAGACGATTATTTCATCCCATTATTTCCCGTTATATCCTCGAATATCGTGCCTTGGAGTTCGGTATAATTGTAAAATTATTCTTACGCATCTGCACGGAGCCAATCTCGCGGTGACTTGCCCTTTGTAAGAAACGTACCAAAAACATTCTAATAAATGAAACTGTCCCTAGCAAAAAGCCTATAAATTACGAAAGAAAATTTTCGAAAAATATATTTCGATTTATTACAGACGTTGATTGTCTCCGAGAAAGTATTTATACATCGTGTTTGCATCCACGTTAACACGTGATAATTTCACATTTTTATACCACGGACGTAGTTTTCTAATTAACAAGAGAAAATTTCCCGAGTGGCCTTCTTTCCCGTAATTACCGCATCTCGAAATCTCGTAACGAGAGACGCCATCCCGAGTATCTTTCTCTTCTCGGGACAAGTATATTATGAAGATGTACGAGAAGAAAAAACAGTCTGTCCGAAGTGGACTCCTCTGTTCATTGTTGCAGATCATGCACGTAAGTACTTGCGACGCGTACAAGTGAATTACGAGCGCGTTGCATCGAAAGAAAAGAACGACGAGGAAAGGAATACGCTTCTCGCCTACTGGCCACATATACACTCT